TAGTAGTAACAATGTTCGCTGCTAGTAACAAGTGCATCGCTTCTAGTGCCTTACTAGTAGTAACAATGTTCGCTGCTAGTGACAAGCGCATCGCTTCTAGTAACAAGTGCCTTTCTAGTAGTAACAATGTTTGCTATTAGAAACAAGAGGCTATTTGCACTATTCAAAATTGATTCAATACAAATAAACTGAAAGAACTGACACGCATAAACGTGGAACCTGAGGCCAGGTTCCATACCTGAAGGAAAGCGCAAGGTGTTGGCACAAGGCTCTTCCAGGGCAACGCAAAACCATCTCAAAACCGTCTCAAAAACCATTCACACCTTGATGCATCATCTGCATCTCTGTTCCAATCCTCCTCTCTCTTGTCATTGTCCCAGTCCTGAAAGCTGTTCAGATCTGCCTATGTTCTCCCAGCAAGGTAAAGTGGCCTCCCAGCCGTGCTGGGCCCAGCTGCTTTGTTCTGGCCAATCACCTGGTGCAAAGCAATGTTCAAACCTCTCCCTAGTAGCGTCCTTGTTACTAGTAGTACAGCGAGGAGCCCCTAGTAGCTTCTTATTAAAGTCGGAGTTTTAAGGAATACTTGTAATGTTCTTTTGAGTTACTCCTAGCGATGGTCTCCAACCTAATAGTAATGTTCAAACCTCAAGAAAGTTCAAAACTCGCAAGGTCCTTGTTGCACAGGCTGGCCCTCTCCGCGCCACCCCGGCCACTGGCGACCACCTTCATGTGACGTTTTCCGGAACTCAAAAACCTTAACCCTAAACCCTTTCTCCAAATATTTCATTCAAAGGCGTGTTCTCGCACATTCAAAGGCGTGTTCTCGTGTTGCAGAAAAATGGTGGTGAGCTACAGGCTTTGGTCTTTGTATGTCTTTGTATTTGGAGTTAATTAAGTCTGCATGGTGCCCAGTCAGGGTATGTCGTATGTGAACGCCCTGCCACCCTTGCACCACAAACTTTGACCCTTCTTCCTGCTTTATGTTATTTTGTTCAATGTTTTTCTTTGGACCGTTATTTTTCCTTGTTCCTATGTCCTTCTATCTTTAGTCTTTCCGTTGTTTCTTTACACCAGGGAGATCGCAACAAAAGTGAGGGACTGAGTCCTACACAGTGTGGGCTGCTCCACGCAGTGCGAGTCCAACTACTTGGATAGGAAGTGAAAAAACGTTAAAACATGCGTTACTACTAGGAGCAAGGACGCTACTAGGAGCAAAGGGCATCGCTACTAGAAGCAAGGACGCTACTAGAGGCTCCTGGCTGTACTACTATATATTAGCAACAAGGATGCTACGAAAATGGAAGAAGAGAGAGGAAGGAAAACGCGAAGAGGGTCACTGTCGAAAGTGCGAAGAAGGCAGGTGAAGAAGTCAAAGTGGCCTTGAGTGTGGAATGCTGTGATTGCTCTTTGTTTGAGAGGTTTTTGGAGTAAATAGAAGAGGAAACGGAAAACCAAGAAGGTATACAGGTATACCCAAACACCATATTCTTTCTTTACCCAGAAGAACCCTTTCTTGATACAAAAACATCTCCAGAAGCTGCTTCCCATTCGCTGCTTCATCCCATGAACGGCGAAAAAACATGGCAGGTCGGCTGCCATCGTCCCCGGCGGGCCTGAAAAAGCCGACCGCAATCCTCATCACTACATTCACCCTTTTTAGATCTTTTTAGGGCCTTTCCTCACACAATCCACATGAGCTTTTCCTTGTGTGATGGGTTAAAGCCTGGATGAATACTTGGACCGAGAGAAAGTGGTGTATGTCCCGTACTGACAGTTTAAAGATTATGAAAGCAACTAGTAACAAGAAGATACTAGGAGCTGGAAGCTGCTAGTATGTCTTTGAAGCTACTAGTAACAAGAAGCTTCCTTGGGAATTGTTTCACCTGTAGTAACAAGAAGTTTTTTAGTAGGTATTTGAAGCTAAGGTGTCTTCTTCTTTCTTGCCTCCAATCAGAATCACTGTGGCGTGCCTAAGCAGCCCCCAGCCCTTTCTGCCGCCCTTCTTCAAGAAAATTGATGGATGAAAGCTCTGATACAACGAAAGGAAAGAAAGGAAAGGAATCAAAGTCGAATGAAGATCGAGAGGTCCGAAAAAAGAAAGCAAGCTCTAAAGGATTCAGTAAATTCCAAAGATGTATATATATATATTGTAATATATGTTAAGTCCATAACAGAGAAAAAGATTTGATGTGCTTTTGCGTGGGACTTGAGCTCAGGACGCCAAACTTTCCACGCTTGTACGGCGAATGAGCCCAACTGGCGTCAAGTGTTTCAGCGTCTCAGATCAAAGTCACAAAAGACTGTTCAATGGTTGTCGAAAACTGTTGGTTCAGCCTAGTGGTGTCCTTTCTTTGCTTTGTGTCACTTTCTGTATTGTTTTTTTTTTTGCCTTTTTTCCCGAATGCGTAGCGAAGGGTTCCCGTTTATAGTTGGGGGTCTGGGGGTTGGACCTGTTTGCATGGCTTGCGTCGTGTCGCCGTCTCTCGTCGTCTGTCGTCGTCTCTCGTTGTCTCTCGTCGTCTCTCGTCGTCGTGTCGTCGCCGTCGCGTCTCAAATTTGCTGCATTGGGGGAAGCTTTTGCAAGTGACTTTGCATGGATGTGTCACGTGTCAGTTTGCGCCGCTATTCCATTGTGATTTGCATGACACCGACATGTCGCGCAAGAAACGTGATGCATTTCGCTGCACAGGCGCAGCGTTTCGTGAGATCTGCTGATTGCTGCGCAGTTCCATTGGGATTAGCGTTGGGAGAGTCGTGTTTTTGGGGTGTTGGATGTGGCCGTGCCATTGAGATTTGCGTTTCAGGGTGTGGCATCGAAGCTCGGCTTTCGTGACAAGTCTCAGCTGAAATGGCGATTTTGGTGGATGGGAGTGTGCTCTGAACGGGTCGAAATCATTCCAAACGTGTGGTGTGGTGCAAATTTTGTTGAAGCTCACATGCGATGATATTGTCACTTTTCGTGGCAGGCGCAGGACTTCGTGCGGGTTTTGAAGCGTGGAAGTGCGATTCTCGTGGCAGGCGCACGGAATCGTGAGGTTGCAAGGTGTGAGGGAGGTGACATTTCGTGGCAGGCGCAGTACTTTGTGCGCGTTAGACGTGCGGATGGGGAAAGATTCGTGGCAGGCGCAGGGAATCGTGAGGTTGTGAGTTGTGGTAGAGGTGAATGTCGCTGTCACATTGAGATTGGCGTGTGAGCGGATGTTGTTTGGAGGGGCTGGAATCGCGAAACTGCTTGGCAGGGCTGCGTGATGTGTGTGCTCCGATGGGTGTTTCCGCTTGACTTGTGGAGGAAGTCTCGTACGAAACGCTCGTTTTGCAGACTTTGACGTGTGAGTTTTTGAGGAAGTCTCGTACGAAACGCTCGTTTTGGAGACTTGACGCGCAACCCTCTGCGGAGTCCCATGCGTGCGCAACCCTCTGCGGAGATCGTGCGTGTCGAGTGCGCGAAGCGCAGGCGAGAGTGCGATTTGTCCGGTGCCCGCGCAACCCTCTGCGGAGATCGTGCGTGTCGAGCGCGCGAAAAGCAGGCGAGCACTGGCGACTTTGTAGTAATTACAACTTTAGTTTCTGGGGAGCTGGAAGATGAGAACTGGTGACTCGGTAGTACAACTTTAGTACGCGGAGTAATCTGTGGAGCTGGAAGCTGAGAACTGGCGACTTTGTAGTATAACTTTAGTACGCGGAGCAATCTGTGGAGCTGGAAAGCTGAGAACTCGCGACTTTGTAGTGCAACTTTAGTACGCGGAGCAATCTGTGGAGCTGGAAGCTGAGAACTGGCGACCTTGTAGTCCAACTTTAGTACGCGAAGTATCTGGGGAGCTGGAAGAGAGTCTGAGTATCCCACAAGAGTGCCCTACAAGAGTGTCCCACAAGAGTGTCCCACAAGAGTGTCCCACAAGAGTGTCCCACAGAGTGTCCCACAAGAGTGTCCCACAAGAGTGTCCCACAAGAGTTTCCTACAAGAGTGACCCACAAGAGTGTCCTACAAGAGTGTCCCACAAGAGTGTCCCACAAGAGTGTCCTAGAAGAGCGTCCCACAAGAGTTTCCTACAAGAGTGTCCCACAAGAGTGTCCTGCAAGTGAACCACAAGAGTGTCCCACAAGAGTGTCCTACAAGAGTGTCCCACAAGAGTGTCCTACAAGAGTGTCCTACAAGAGGGTCCTACAAGAGTGTCCTACAAGAGTGTCCTACAAGAGTGTCCCACAAGAGTGTCCCACAAGAGTTTCCTACAAGAGTGACCCACAAGAGTGTCCTACAAGAGTGTCCTACAAGAGTGTCCCAGAAGAGTGTCCCACAAGAGTGTCCTACAAGAGTGTCATTTGGACATATTAGTTTTTCGAACGTGTTTGCATTCGGGTTCGTGGATTCCATCTTGTTCATGTCAGTCTTTGTCTTTGTACCCTTTGCACCTCTGCATTAGCTGCAGCTCATCGAAGACGATGAGACTGCAGCGGCCAACGAGTCATCACATCTTTCGCGACGAGTCTGGGTCACTGAGTGTCACTGAAAGCGTTAAAAGCCTAGGTATTCTATCGTATTATGTCTTTTATTCCTTCTTTTGGAGTCACATCCATTCCTCCCACACCTAGTATAATATAGCTTACGTCAAGAGAGTATTCATGGTACTAGCCAGGGGTAAGGTCAAGGCTTGGTGTGCTGTTCTCATTTTCTTTCGACTATGTATATATTTGGATCTGTTCAGAAAGTCTTGAACCAAAGCATAGCACAAACGCGGTCAGGTCCGGCTTTCTGCCACATAGCGCTGTGCAACCTTTCGTAATTAAAAACATGACCTAACACTACATCCCGTGGCCTGATGAATGAAAAGCAAAGCTCGGAGTTTGCAATGGCTTCAGCCTTTCCGCCTTTGTCCTTGTTCCAACTTTGGGAACAAACTCTACATCACTCAGAAAGCCTCGTGGTGATGTCAGAATGCGGTTGGTGATAAATATAGACTGTGGGCAACTCAAGCACATGCCTTTTTGCCGCATCTAGCAAAGATCTCTCTGGAAATTGCATTGTAAATGTCCGAAGCACGTGGCTCAGTGTGTGGGAACATATGACCGTCCGAGTGAGAAAGCTCCAAAATCTCTGGGTACATTTGCTTGAGAGACGCTTCCGATCCTGAGAAGAAATCATCCTGACCTGCATTGAAGACCCGCACCGTGGGATGTGAAGAGGTCCACTTCGTGGGCCACTCAGGCCACTGAAAAAGAGGATCATCAATTTGACCTCCACTGAACATCACGGTCAAACTCCAGGGCACAGAAGTCGAAGTTCTTTCATTCTCTTCCTTCTTTCTCAGTGCGTCCAACAGCAAAGACACACAATTGGACGCTTGCGAAAAACACACCAGAACATCCACAGGCTGCGCTTGGATCAACTCCAACAAGTTGCCGACACCCTGATCCACCTCATTATAGCAGCCACTGCCATGCGAATACCAGCTTCGAAATGGCTGTCCCTTGGACAGGGACTTTTCGAAATCGCCCGGCTCCCCGAAAATGGGATCTTTGGCACCCGGGACGGGAGTCCAAATGCGCGGTGAATCCACAAAGATCCATTCAACGGAAGTTTCGGTGGTTTCCCTCTTTTCAAGTGCTGCTTTAAGTCGTCGCACCTGAAATCTCATGATGGCGGAATTGGAGCTTGCACCATGCACTGCCAAGACCCGCAGCTTTGAAGTGTTCGACGTGTCATCTGCCTCTAATAGTGTCTGTGGCATAGTAGGTTGGAGGCCATCGCTAGTATCGAAGCTAGGGACAGTTTCATGGCCGAGCGAGGCCAGAAGGGCAAAGAGGGATTTCTTCACATCCAGATCTGTTTCTTTCCGTGCATATGCCAAAATTACATCGGTCTTGGAAAGCAGATTATCACATGAACAATCCTTTAAGGAAGCTGCTGCAACTTTCCGTACACGCCAATCCTGATCCTCCAAAGCTTCCAGGAGCTTCTCCAAGCGTGAATCTTGGAGCTCAAGTCCCTCAAGTTGCATCTCGCACCCTGCTTGTTCTTCTCGCTTCTCTTTGTTTTGTGCGTTCAAAAGCGTTGCCATTGTTAAAACTGCTTCGCCCCTCACAGTTGCATCCGCATCCTGGGTCGCACGGAGCATGACTCGCCAGGCCGTGTCGCCATTCGCAGCTCCGTGCCCACTGTGCCCACCGTGTGCTCCATCTTCGTTCTCCATCCGAGACAAGCACCGGAGGACCTTCCTCTTAAGGCGAAAATCAGCTGATTCGAAGACCACCTCCATCTGAAGAGCAGCCGCAGCTTGTTCGCAGTAGTTCATCCTGCCAAATAAGGCCAAGGACTCCTGGAACGAAAGGTCACTCAATTGTGTCAAGGTGGCTATAAAGCGCTCTGGTGCTGTTGGAGCTTTGCAAAGCAAAGGCTTTTTTTGTAGAGAAATGCTCACCCAGCCAGAATCCGGTCCAGACCCAGTGATCAGTGTATAATTCAGTCGCTCGTTCACCAACTGAATCTCCTGAACAATAGAACCAGTGGCCAAACGGGATGAACACTCAGGAGACGTCACTGCGAATTCTTCACGAACGATGATTCCACCCTTCTCGCTGCCACCGATCACCTGCCAAAGGTCTTTGAGCTTCGAAAGCAGCTCTTTGCCACTTTGCAACTTCAAGCTCACCCACCCCGTCTCAGGCCCAGAACCCGAGAGCTTCCGAAATCGAAGTCGAAGATTCGAAGGACTCGAGAAGTCCTTTCGAAGTTCACTCGAATGTTGATTTCCTTGAAGCTGAGATGGACTCGAACCTTCTCTCTCTTCAATCGCATCTCTTCTCTCTCTTCTCTCAATCTCGACCTCCAACTCTTCCACCACCGCTCCGGTGCCCAAGCGTCCCGTGAGCTCGGAGTTCACATCTGCACTTCTTCGAACCACAATGCCACCCTTCTCACCACCACCCACAACTTTCCACAGAGAAAGGAGCGAAACATGCGAAGCCATATGGCGTATGGTGTGGATTCTCTCTTTCAAGGCTGGTGTGCTTCACAACTTGCCCTCAGAATTGATGTTGGGATTGCGAGCTGGTGACTTTGGTGATGCAATTTGATAGAAGCGACTGGCAGCTCAACAAGCTCAAGCGGCTGGAACCGAAAAGGATAGAGAAATAGCTGGACTGCCAGAGACTATCTATCAAGCGCAGTTTGAAAGCCGTGGGATCAAACACGGTCAAACTGCACAGTGTTCAATCCAAGGCTCTGAATGGCAAAGACATCCTGGCAGTTGAAAGTCTGAGGAAGTCAATCTGAAATAGACGATTGAATAAAAGTCAATTCACAATAGTATATTGTTTCTACTAGCTTCTTGTTACTAGTAGTAAGGCACCTGTTACCACTAGCGTGGCACTTGTTCCTAGTAGCTTCTTCTTTCTAGTCTATTCATTTTCTTGAAAACTGAACCATGTGTTTTCTGTTTGAAGGTAGATTGGAGAACGCTTTTGTCTCCTGAGGCCCAGAAGGAGCTCTGGGTGCATCCAGGTGAAAATCCAGGCTACAGCCAGAGCGCCTGTCCACACTCCATTCCGAAGAGTTTTTGTTCAAAAGAGAGTTGCGAGTCCTTGGAATATCCAATTTTGCAAGGTGTCAAGAGCTCGAAAAAAGAAAACTGTCTCCAACTCTTTTTATGAAGTGTGCACCGTGCTGAAGTTTCAGGAAATGCTGGAACTCCTAGGCTGAAAGAGCGCCTCACTCGAAGTCGCAGTCTCGACTTCTGGCGTGTGTCCCCCAGTTGCAGCAGCACCTCCCGCATCTCCAGCAAGGAGCCCTGACTTCGACCAGAGAGGAACTGCTAAAAGGCCCCTATAGCTAGTAGGTTGGAGGCTATTGCTACTAGGTTGGAGGGCAATGCTTCTAGGAAAGTTCATCTAAGTCAAATGAAGCTGCCCCTGCCACAGGGGTGCCGTTGATGGCGAGGATCTCATCACCAACCTGAACTGGGCTCAATTCATCACAGGACTTATATAGCCTGCCACGAAAAAAGAAAAAGAGCAACTGGACGAATTTACAATGCAATTGCTTAACTCATAAGGGCAATTCTGGTAGACGAATTATACTAGGAGCAAGAAGCTACTAGGGGCTCCTGTCTCTCTCCCAGAAAGGCTAAATTGATTGCCTGGATCCCAGCTACTGCAGCAGCGCTGGATGCTTGGAGGGACTGGCCCAAGGTCAGTCTAAAGAAGAAACCTCCAACCTAATAGGAATGGCCTCCAACTCCAAACTCATTAAATTTTATAGATCTAAAACAAAAACTCTTCTTTTTTCTTGCTAACAGCGATTGCCTCCAACCTAATAGCCATGGCATCCAACCTGAAGCCTTTGTGAGATCTCTTTGGAATCAGCCTGTCCGTTTCAAAACCTGTGCTCTTTCCAACGCCTTTACCACCACAGCAGGCGAAGTCAAAGTCCCTCCAACCTTCACAGATATGAGAGAACGTCGGCAACGATGTATTGCATCTCAACCAAAGTGTCAACACACTTAAGCCTGATTATGAATACGACACTTGCCACAACTATCAATACCACCACTGACGACCACTACGGCTACTACCAGGCTACCAAAACTGGCAGTGCTAAACCAGTAACTAGGCAAAGGCCTTCACCTCCATTCCAAGAACTGGCAAGCGCCAGGGGTATCCAGCCTCATTCAAATTTGCCACCAGTCATCGTGAAGGAATTAAGGAAAACACAAGCAGACAAAAGCGGGCCAACAACTCCGTCAAAGCGCCTCCAGGCATTCCACCACGCAGCGAACCCTGCAGTGGGCAAAGTAACCAAAGTGTGCCTTTTTGGGCAGTAAATTGCTTCCGTTGCATGGTTGAAGAGCCTTTCTGCTGGTATTGCCAGCCCATGCTCCTCAAATTTCTTAGCCACCATGGCGCAGACCTGGGCGGATGTGCAAACAAACATGAGCAGTGTGGCCCCCTCTGGTTGAGTTCGCAAAGCTTCCTGACCTCGCCATTCATGTTCAAAACAGGAGATCCTGACCTGGAGAGCTCGAGCACTAATCCTTAACAAGTTCTTGGAAAATAGAAGAAAGAAATTGTGTTTATTGTTTTTACTAAGCCAAGGTTGTTTTGTTTGCATAGGCTCGATCCCAAGCCACAGACATGCCGGGCAGCGTGGGCAAGGCTAGCTGCACAAAGTGCACGGTGGGCTCGAGCGGGACGCCCCGAAATCTCTGCCTCGACACATCGCTACGAACGGAGCAAGGACCCTACGTTCGGGGCTCCTGGCCTTATTGCTAGGAGCAAAGAGCTACTAGTAACAAAGAGCATCGCTACTAGGAGAAAGGACGCTTCTAGGTTGGAGGCCATCGCTAGTAGGTTTGGAGGCCATCTTCAGCTCAGTCTGTTGACAGAAATTGCATTCTGAAATCGCCTCGGTTGACTCACCAATCCAGAAAGGCCGACTGCCTCACAGGATCCAAGCAAATCTGTTTTAAATAAATAGCTTATTGTTTCTAGAGCTTATTAAATTGTGTTATCGATCGGCCGCAAGCAAATGGCGATCGAAGCGCGACTTTCGCCGGACCAAAAGCGAAGCGAAATTGTTGGGTCAAGATCTAAAGATGGCCGCGGGTGCAAACCAAGGATCATGTCATGCCCCACCGAGCAACTGATTTCACAGCTGCCTCTTCTCTTTTGTCGGTGGAGGCATCGGTGCAAAGATTGAAATCAGCACCGCGCAGGCCACACCAATCGGTGCTTGGGAATTGCCAAGTTCCTTATAGGGCACCCGATCCTCTAGGATCTTCCACTCAGAGAATCCTGACGTGTGGTCGAATCTCCCATAGCTGCTTCTGAGGGGGTACTTCTTGGGATCCAGTCGGGGCTCTGGTGACCTAAATGACTTGGCGTTCCGAGCAACTTGCATTGCTACATCTTTCTCAAAATGCCAACCCGAGGCTTCTGACAGCCTGCGCAGGTATGGAAAAACATCATGAGACGTGTCTAGGCTTTCACCAGGCACTGCCGCATCAGCGCTCAGCTGGCTGCTCTTCCTGCCACCCTTGTTGGGCTTTTTGATGAAGCTGGCACTGTAGCAAGCATTCCATCGGCCCTTAGTGAGGATGCTCTGCAGATGAGACAGGTCCATCTCCTTCGCGCCAGCATCCACAAACATGTTCTCTGTGGCGCTCCACCTCAGGGAAGTGTTGGGCCGTCTCAGGATCGATCTGATCCACGTCGTGGTGAAAGCCAGGGACTTCTGCGAGCCGAACGACGGAGTGTCGCTTGAGCACTTGTCGAAGGTGTCCTTGGCATCGGTCACAACGGTGAGCGGGACCGCATCCAGGATGGCATCAACGTGCCGATTCTCCATGGGGTAGCCAAGGAAGTCGGCCATCACGCCACGGACGTACTGTCCAACATCAAAGGCCTCTTCAGCTCCCAAGAGCTCAGCGCCGAAGGTGCTCCGGCAGACCTTAGGCAGGCGGTGACTCCGCGCATCCAGAAGGCAGAATGAGCCTTCCTTTCCGCCCATCAAGGCCTTGTCGGCCAACAAGACGAAGAAGGAGGACTGCGAGTAGGTTTTCTCCTTCATGGGAGCGTCTGCACCACCATTCTTGGTGACGTTGCCCAGGCTGGAGTCGGTGACCACCATGACGCCAGCGCCGTCAAGCTCCATTGGCCTGAACTTCAAACTGAAGCTGCCGGAGGCCTTCATGCGCTTTGCCAGCGCGTTGGCCTTCATCAAGGTGCCCATGTTGGGCGTCTCTCCCTGCAGCACAGACAAGGCATAGCCGTGGTCAACTCGAACTTGGGCCACAAGCCATTGTAGCGACCCCAAAAGGCCACGTAGTTGCTTCTGCTCAGCTGGTGTCAATGCTGCTGCAGGATCACCTCGACGATGAGTGGGGATGACAACAGTCTTGAGGTTCGAGTGGTATTCCTCCATGCTGACGGTAATGACGCCAGTCGTGAGGTCCTGTGAGATGTGCTTCCCACAGTAGTTGAAGGCATTGTGCTCAATGCTGCCAAAACCCAACTCGGTTTCCAGGCTCAGAATGCTCTTGCGGGCTTCTTCTTCACCTCCACATAGAAGGTCATCAACGTGCGACAAAACAACACCAAGCAATGTTGCACGATCATCGCTCCAGAGAAACCAGCAAGCTGCATCGACGGTGCTTCTCTCCCAGCCTCGCTCAGTCAGAGCGCGGTTCAAACGAAGATACCATTGCCGGGGGGCGTCAGCTAGTCCAAAGACTCCTTTTCTCACACGCGCCAAGCCATTGGCGCTGAGCGGCAATCCAGGTTCATCCCCGCGGATGCGGATGTTCTGGATGAAGAGCTCACGAGTGCCGGACATGTAAGGGTCACCCTTCATGAACGCAGACTTGATGTCTACTGAAAGCAGCCGCCAGCTCTTCTTGGCAAAGTTGCATGCAGTGAGCGTCAAGACCATGTGCTGGCTTGTCCTGCTGGCCGTGGGTGCATCCTTCCGGATGGAGAAAGCAAAAACATCTTTGAAGCCAGGCACAACCAAACGTGCATTGGGCTTTTCCTCCAAGTTGTTGCTCTCTGTTCGAAGGCCGTCGTGCTTGTCAGTAAAAACCCAACGAGGTGTCAGGATCTTGCCTTCTTCTCCACGACGCTTGAGCTCCTGACGAATCTTCAGCGACTCGGCTTCGGACAGGACCTCCACAGCATCATTGTTGGTCCACACAGCCCAACCAGCTTCAGCAGCCTTCTTGTAGCCCTCCTTCTGCTTGGGACTCATTGAGCTCCAGTGGTATTCGCGCCGGGCAGTCTGCACGGCATTGACGTCATTGATGTCGTCCACTCCACAGGGCCATGTCAAACCCAAAGACTGACGGGCTTTCCACTCAGAAGGTGAAGGCATTCCCCATGAACCACGCCAAGTTCCATGATCTCGAACTTGAGCATCCAGGGGGTTCGCACGATCAACGCAAGCCTCACTGTAGATCTTCATCAGGGGGTGCACATCCTCCGCGTGGTTGTTGAGGACGGACAGGATCTCATGCTTGCTAACGACCAGAGTGTCATTCAGCTCAGAAGGCGGCGGTTCCGCTTGAGAAGCTGCTTCACTCTCTGCGCGAAGACGTTCAGCATCAATTTCAGGTCCTCGCTTCACGCTGCTGCTGCTGTGTTCTGTGTGCTCTGTTGTTGGTGACAGAGGGCGCAACAGCCTGGCACGGGCTAGTTGTTGTTCAAGTAGTGGAAAAGGTGACTGTGAGTTCACCGTTCTGGATGGTGCCGTGGTGGGCACTGGTGTGTTCTGCCTCGTGAAAGGTGTTGTCTGTCGTGATTGTCCAACAACTGAGGGTAAGGACGGCTCCAAACCAGCTTGCATTGCTCCAACCATCTCTTGCGGCTCAACAGGCGGCAAGTCTGCAGGAACTCGCTCCTCTTCTGCCTCAGAAGGAGCATACGAGGGTGCCAGCGAAGTGCCAGTAGAGCTCGAAGTCCTGCTTGAAGGCGATGGTTTGGAAATAGCAACTCCACTTCTCGTCATGTCGTGAAGTGCGCTTTCAACGGCTTCTTCAATTGCATCTCGCCAAGTGTCAGAGGCGATCTGCTCCATAGGGCTGGCCAATCGCACATGCTCCATGCTGCACTTGGTCAACTGACCCTTGAAGGAAATGTAGCAATTTGCTCCTTGTCCATTGGATCCATTCTCAATTGCCACAAGCAAACCAGGGCCATGCCAGCGACGAAGTGCGAGCCGATGTCGTCTTCCAGTGCTGCGACTGTTGTACTTTTGAAAGCGGAAGAAGTACACGATAGATCCCGGCGTGGGAGCATTGGTGATCGTTGTGTCGCGGCTTCTGGCAAGCTCGGCCTTTCTCAGGCCTCGACTGAAGTGCAACCTCGTCATCGACACCTTAGCTGTCTCGCGGAGTGCCATCAAGCGGGCATAGTCAGGGTTCTTGTCCACAAGGTCGTGCTCAGCTAGGCGGCTTTGCACATCTGTCAAGGTGTCGCCAGGGATCTTTGGTTGTCGTCCCAGGGCAGCTTGAGCTGGAGAGACACCTGAGTCATTCACATCCTGGTTGTACGCTGCAGTGGCTTCACCGAGCGCTGCCTCCATTTCAACACGGCCTTGCACTGAGTTGGCCATGACCACGGCATTGAGGATGGCTTTGAGAGTGCCACCACTTCGCTCTGCAATGCCGTTTTGCCAAGGGGCGCCAACTCCAAAGTGCCAGAGCAGCACGGAGTTCTCAGAGCAGTAGTCCTGGAACTTGTGCGAGATGAACTCTCGAGCCTGATCACAGACCAGAACTCTCATAGGGCCAAAGACCGGCATCCAGCGGGTCTTCATGAAGGCGATGACATCCTCTGCTGACTTCCGTTCCAAGACTTGTGACATCTGGAAGCGTGTGCAGAAATCTATGCAATGGATGATGTAGTACTTGGTGCCATCAACGTCGAACGCCTCGAGGATGTCCATGTGCACTTGGTCACTCACATCACGTGGTTGCGGAAGTGATGCGGGCCTTTGAGGCTTTTGTGGTGCTCTTTCCTTGCAGATGGAGCACTGATGTTCCTTGGCTGCTCGAATCACCATTGCCGGAGCTCCAGCGATGGTCAAGGCTCTTGCAAGCCGCTTGTTGCTTCTGTGGCCAGTATTGGCATGAAGTCTTGCCACAGCAGCTTTGATGGCAGCCGGAATCTTCTCTGGATTTCCACTGGCCTCCTTTGTCTCAAGATCAGAGTCGCTGTCCAGGGTAGGCGGTGCAAAATGCTCGCCTTCCAATTCATCTTCCATGTCATTGCCAACGGCCAAAACTTCAGAGGAGTTCTGAGCAGTGAACTTCTTGGCATCAAGGTTGAACTGGTCCTCCATCCCACGCACAAGCAAGCGAGCCATAGCCGCGGGGTAGTGTCCGGCTCGAACGGTCACTTTGGAGCCACCAATCACTGGGTCATGGATGTGGGAGCGCGTGCACCGACGTCCATCCATCAAGGAAGTCACTGTAGAGCTCGATGAAGCGAGACGAGTTGGCTTCTTGTGAAAATTGCCTTGCAAAGAGCGAAGTCCCAACTGGCACTGGTCAAAATCAACCAGAAAAGGGTCATGGCGATCAATGAACTCTTCCATCAAGGGCTCGCGCCATGCACCACTTGGAGCCGGATTCTCAAGGGCATAATGCCGGCCTCCTCGGAGTTGTTCTTCAGCGAGCTCCAAGGCAAATGACATCAGGATGCGGCCTCGCTCAAGGACTTCTGGTGACATCTTGCCCTGGTTCAAACGCTGCAAGGGACTGAAAGGCCCACAAGGAAAAGCGATCATCAAGAAAAAGGGCTTCTCCTTCTTCACCCAAGCCATGCAAGCTCGGCGATCCTCCTCCTGCAGGAAGTTCCATCCAGTCTCTAGGCTCATCGGAACTCCGACACGGTGGCCTCTTTTGGCTGCCTCCTTCATGACACGTTGCGTTGTCGTGAAGATCTCTGTCATGAAGGTTCCTTCATTGCTCTTCGGTGTAGTTCTTTTCGAAGGACTCTGTTGGGACAAAGGTCTCTTCAATTTCAAAGGACTCTTTTGTCTTGAAGGTCTCAACAGGCTTGAAGAGGTTCGGTTGGAAAAAGAAGGTGGCTTGGACGTAGAGGGAGTGAAACATGAAGCCAAGTCCACGCTATTCATGAAGATCTCGTCGTTCATGTAGTGAGACATTTCCTCTTCAAATTCTGTCACAAGGGCCTGTCGAACTTGATCCTGGCCGAGGGAAATCTTCTTACAATCAGCCATGTGCTTCTCCCAGGCATTCGCAATGAGTGTTGCCTGGCCCTTCTTGAGGTCTTGGTGGAGGTCAAATTCTAAGCATCGAGAACTCTCTCCACCGCCTCCTTCGTGAGGTCGACGAATTCCAGGTCTCCATACTGGGCGTCCAGCCGGTCTTGGTAGACACTCTCCATGGACTCGCCGGCCAACTGACGAAGCTCTGCCTCCGTGTACTCTCCCATCGTGCGATCCGTCTCCCCGTTGAGGATGCTGTCGATCTGCATGGGAGTGGCCTCGGACAGTGAGAAGTGCTCGGGCAGTTCTCCTGCAGTCTGAAGTGGGTTGTTCTGTCCTGCCTGCTTGGACAGCAGATCGAGCACGCCAGCGACTTGTTGCATCATCTCGGCAAATTGAGCCTGATTCTGGCGATGTTCTCGCTGCATCTCGGCCACTTGCGGAGACGTTGAGTACGTCATGGTAGGAGGTGCTTTGGCAACTGCTGGACTGCTTGTAGGAGTCGGCTTGGCATAGTCCTGACTTGAACTCGAGGCCTTGTTGTAGTTCTTGGAAGCCGGCTTGGACTTCAAGAGCTCCACCGTGGGTTTCACTTTCTCTTTGGTCTGGGCCACGGTCATGTTGGCCTCGACAGGCACATTGAGCAGTGCAGCCAAGCGCAACAGATCTCCTCGAAGAGTCGGCAGTCCACCGCGAGGTCCAATCAACTGACGAGCTTCCTCCTCGCGGGTGCCATCCTTTTCGGCCTGCTTGGCCTTTTCCTTTGCCTCCTTCAAAGCTTCTTGCTTGACCTGTGCTGCCAAGCCCTTCGATGAGCGAGCCGCCAACATTCCCATCAAAATAGGATCTTCCACGAAGGCGACCTGCAAGCCCATCCGGTTGCGAAGCCACATGCACTCCTGCATAGCGCCCATGTTGAAGTGTCCCAAAGTCGTGGCTTTCTGGAAGGTGCCGAGAGGCATGAGGTGATGCTTCTCCATTTCTTGTGCCTGAAGCTTCCAGCGGGCCAACGAATTGATAGCCGGGTACGGCAGTGGGACAAAGCGAAGATGAGGCCGCCGCACAAGCCATAACAACAGCCCATGCAAATGCCAGCTTAGCCGAGCCACGGAACGTTGCACGAGGCGCATCCATTTTGTGGCAACTCTTGCTCCCCTTGAGGGCGGGAGCGGCTCGCTTTTGCGGAAGAAGGTGCCGGCCAACAAGTCCATCAGCTGCAAGGCACTCGTTTGCCAAAGAGCTCGGAGTCCGGGTCGTCGTAGGGGATGAAGTCGTCACGTGGGGTCCAGCTTGAACCGACATGCTCTGAGCGGCTTCATACTTCTCAATGATCTCTTGCACAAACAAACCAGCTTGCAAACTGCGCTCCGACAATAAATGCTCATGAACGAGGGCTTCATGCAAAGGATCTGAGGCCTTCAACCTTCTAGTCAACCACTCTCTCAAGGTGACTTGAAGCTCAATGATGCCATCAGTGCCAACGCGGCGCCATTTCTGGGTGCCCACACCTGGCCATTGTCGTGGAATGAGGCGGAGTAGGAAATGACCTGCCGCGAGCTGCTTCAAGGGAATTGCTGAAGTGTTGAGGAAGTCAAATTTGATCAACCGTCGGGAAAAACTCATGGTGGCCCCAACCGACTCGAGGTAGTCCCGACCAAGGAGTAGACCAAGTGAAGGAACTGGTACCACTGAAGTCCAGAAAACCAGAAGGGTGTCTCCAATGACCATGGGCAGCCTCCATCGTTCGGTGCTGACCTGCGTGCCACCATCACCAAATCTGAAGACTTCATTTTCAGGGGCACTCTTCACCAGGGACCAAATCTCCTCAGGGGCAGCTCGTAGGGCTTCCATGTAGGTGATCAACCATTGGGGACCCGTCACGGTCCGGTTGCAAGCACTGTCAAGGGCTCCAACTAGACGCTTGTCGTGGGATAGGGTACCAACAGCATGAACTTCTCGAGGTGGTTGCGACTGGTTGGAGTTCAACACTTCACCAAGCGAGCGGTTCCGTCGGACACATGTCACCGCAAAGGCTTCATGAGGACCATCTTCAGGGGGCAACTCATCAACAACATGCTCCGTGTTGAGGGTCTCCACAACCTTCACAGCCTTCATCGGCTTCTTCGGAGGCGGACCTTTTCTGCCAAGGCCGGCTCCAGGCTTGGTGCATTCGGCATCACCAGCCCAATGGCCAGGAAGGCCACAGTCGAAGCATGGATGCTTCCCTGAAGCTTTCTTCGCTCCAACTTTGGACTTGGGATCTGCGGCCGGACTGGCCTTGCCATAGCCTCTATCTTTCTTCACTTCAGCCAGTTTCTGCCTGGCTTCACGCATTGTCAACAATGCTTCCGCCGCCGACTCCACTGTCTCCTCAACATCTTGTACAAGGGCGGCTTCAACACCCTCTTCAACAGCCTCCTCAAGCTCTGTGGCCAAAATCTCGGCCTCAGCCTGCAGCACTTCCTCCAGGTTGGGGGACTCGCCATTTTCCTCCAGCTCCGGTTCATCCGGAACCAACTCTTCTTCTTCGTGGGTATCAGCAACAAAGGCTTGTCGATGCTGACTCGGAGAGCGCTTCTGGAAAGGCCTGCTGGAGGCATAGGTCGAGCTTGAGCGACCTGATGCAAATGAAGACACTGAAGGCGCCGACGATGAGGGAGCTCGAGACGAAGGTGCTCGTTGCTGAGCCAAAAACCTCTGCATCAAGGGCGGTCCACGAGGTTGCTGGTCTCCTCCATGAAAGGTCTTCTTCGCCAGCGGGTCTGCGGAGTGCAAATCTCTGAAAAGACGAAGCACTTCGACCTCTGTCTCCTCATAGGATTCCTTGCCCTGCAATGCGGTCTCGAGCAACTGCTGCCTCAGGGCATCCAAACCAAGCTTTTGCTTGAGAAACCATCCAAGCTCTGCAGTGGGAAGGGTGACTCCTTCCATGCGAAGCTCGGCGACGGCCGAGCGAAAGCGGGTGCAAAACTCTGAAATCCTCTCTTGGGGCTTCCGCTTCAACTCCAAGTAGAAGGAGTTCCTGAGATCTCCTCGCTTGTCGAGCTGTGTCTTGCCGTTGATGGTCTCCAAGGCTCTTAGCAGCTTGTTGATGCCGGCAAGAGGGTCCTCGGGCGTCAGCTCGATGTCGTCGCCCGTCTCAGGATCCTTAGCCATGATGGCTGGCTGAAATGCCAACTCAGCTGGCGTGAACTCTTCTCCACGCTGCCTCACTATTCCTGACTGCCGAAGCAACCATCTTGCAGCCAGGTTGTACTTCTTCGTGCTCTGGACGTCGAGGGCCTCAAGCCACCAGGTCATCTCTTTTCTGAATGACCTCCAAGTCTTAGGATCTCCATCCCAAACAGGAACTCTGCTCCAGGCTCCGGCATTCTTGTCATCCTCAGCCATGGCCGAATGGCCACCAGTCCTCAGGATGAGGTGACACACTAGTTCAGGCCAAAGGGGCGAGGGCCTATTGAATTCAAGGGAGCTTGTTCTCTCTGTTCTGAATCGAGGTGGCCGAGCCCGCAGGGATCACCCTCGAGGAGGTCAGAGACGAAGGGCTCTTCGTGCAAAAGGGAAACCAAATGCTCAGGCAGCAAGGGACACCAGGCGCGGCGGCCAGCAGCGTCAAAGCAAAAAGCCGCGGAGAGCGCAGGCTAGGATCGGTAGGCTCCGGTGCCACTGTTATCGATCGGCCGCAAGCAAATGGCGATCGAAGCGCGACTTTCGCCGGACCAAAAGCGAAGCGAAATTGTTGGGTCAAGATCTAAAGATGGCCGCGGGTGCAAACCAAGGATCATGTCATGCCCCACCGAGCAACTGATTTCACAAATTGTAATTAAAGTCTATAGCTTATTGTTTCTACTAGCTTCTTGTTCCTAGTAGTATTGCCAGTAAGGCCAGGAGCCCCTAGTAGCTTTCTAGTATGTATGTGTGTTTTTTTCTGCTTTTTCGTTCATCCTTTCGGTGAATTGAATGAAACAAACATGACCATTACCTCTGGTGCATTCAGACAGATTCTGCCTCCTGCCCATGCTGTGTCATGCCACACACCAGCACTCGTTCGCCTTGCCTGCTAGCAAACCGAAGCAAGCAACAAAAGTTGCTTACACAAACACCACAAACAACGAACGCCACTGCTGTTAACCACAACCGAAACGGGTGCGTCACCTTGGCAAATCCCGGCTGAAGCGAAATGGAGCGCTGACAGCTTGAAGTTCTGCCTCTGCAATCTCTCAAAGCAGTCTGCGCAGTTTTCGAGAATATGTTTTCGAATAGAACATATGTGACATGCAAAAGACTACATGAGTTGTACATCTACGCCCTTTTTCCACGTCTGACTTCCAGTTCCGCCTCATCGCAAAGCCGCAGGACCTCAGGGGACGCTGTTGAACATGTGCCTCACCTCAAATCCTGCAGAGAGGAAACAAGACACACAGAGAGGAAACAGGATCACCCGAAAACCTGTTACTCGTGGTGTTTTCTTTTCGGACAGCGGCTGTTGATGCTAAGAGCGGTTTTGCGGGTGAATTGGAACAGCCAGGACCAACAAGACTATGATTTCAACGAGTGGCTTTGCATTGCGGTCACCACAAACTCAGCCGTTCACTGCCACGTCTGCCGCCATGCAGGAACCATGCAGCTCTGCAGCGGCCCAGCGGCCGTCCCCAAAGCGGAGCACTAAGTGCCTCGCAAGCTTTGAAGGAAACATAGGAAACTAAGGGCCCTTTCTTTTCATAGCCATGGCCTCCAACCTAAAAGCGATGGCGATGGCCGCCAATCTACTAGCGATGGCCTCCAGCCTACTAGCGATGGCCTCCAGAGGAAACAACAAAAATTTGTCAAACAGTCACTGATCCCTGCTGGCCAAAGGGAAGAGAAAAAGAAGGCCCAACGCACGCGATTGGACCATGGCAGAAAGCACCTTTTCAGGCTACTGCTCTCGATCAAAGCTCCACTCAGCTGGGGGTAGTTTCACCCGACCAACGTGAGTACAGTGCTTGGCCCACTCCTTAGCATGTCCAAATCAAGTCTTGGAGACAAAAATACATAAAAATGAAAAACATCCAGAAACATGTCTTTGAAAAACTCGTTGCTTGCGATTTGAAAACTCGTTTTGGGGCAAGCCTCTTTACTGTTGGCTGGCCACCCACTTAATCTGTTCCAAGAGAACATGTCATGTCACCAGGCCAATATGTTTACGCCGAGTGCATGGGATTGGACGCTCTTGGAAATAGTTTGCCGGGTATTGTCGATAAAAGCATCTTTCCGAACAGATCGGGATCCCTATCACCAAGCTGTATCTAAGCTGCGTCTGGGAGGAGCAAGAAGCTACTAGGAGCAACCGGCATCGCTACTAGGCAGGCCCCGGAAAAAGCACACATTGCTGTTCGTGATGTCGTGATGTCCCCTGCGTAATATTGCTCACACCTCCCCAACAAGGCAAAGTGTAGAGGCCATCGCTATTAGAAACAAGTGCCACGCTACTAGGAACAGGTGCCTTACTAGTAGTAACAAGAAGCTACTAGAATTAGATTTAATTTTAAACTAAATTAATAGCTTCTTGTTACTACTAGTAAGGCACTTGTTACTACTAGCGTGGCACTTGTTACTAGTAGTAACAAGAAGCTACTAGAAACAAGTGCATCGCTTGCATGTTGTGTCTTGCCAAAAAAGCCTCTGGGCGCTTTGGCTCCATCGACAGGCTGGGCAATTTGGCATCCACCCGGTGCCGGCCTGCACACGTAAAATCTCATTTTTCAGTTGTTTACTCACTCCCTTTCCGATGCTTCCGTATTCATCGCCTGCCCGCAGCACAGCACCCCCGATCAGTCCAGAAAGTGGCTCGGGAACTGACACCTTGCGATAGCAAGAGCTTCTTTCTGAAAACCCTAGAAACAAGTGCCACGCTACTAGGGGCTCCTGGCCTTACTAGTAGTAACAAGAAGCTACTAGAAACAAGTCGTGCATCGCTTCTAGTAACAAGTGCCTTACTAGTAGTAATACGGAGCTAGTAGTAACACGTGCATCGCTTCTAGTAACAGGTGCCTTACTAGTAGTAATTCCTCCTTCAATGAAAGCACGCGCGAGGCCTCAAAGGAGTCGTGCCACACAGGAAACTCCTCGGACAATTGACCTGATGGCACGTCACGGTCCCTTTCTTCCTTCCACTACATTGCTATTCGGTTGGAGGGCAATCGCTATTCGGTTGGAGGGCAATCGCTATTAGGTTGGAGGGCAATCGCTATTAGGTTGGAGGGCAATCGCTATTCGGTTGGAGGGCAATCGCTATTAGGTTGGGGGCAATCGCTATTAGGTTGGAGGGCAATCGCTATTAGGTTGGGGGCAATCGCTATTAGGTTGGGGGCAATCGCTTCTTCTAGGCTAAAGGCCATTGCTATGATTCGGTTGTAGCCCATGGCAAGTAGGTTGGAGGCAAACGGTTGTTCTCAGGAAGAAATCGTAAGGCCAGGAGCCCCTAGTAGCTTCTTGCTCCTAGTAGCGATGCCCTTTGTTCCTAGTAGCTTCTTGCTTCTAGTAGCTTCTTGTTACGAGTAGTAAGGCCAGGAGCCCCTTGTACTGTAGTCTCCTTGCTCCTAGTAGCGATGCCCTTTGTTCCTAGTAGCTTCTTGCTCCTAGTAGCTTCTT